ATGAGATGGAAGGACTCCCTGGAGAAGAGCCTGATGCTGGGAACAATAGATGGCAAAAGAAGAAGGGGGCGGCAGAGGATGAGGTGGCTGGATGGAGTCACTGAAGCAGTTGATGTGAGTTTGGGTGGACTCCGGGAGATGGTGGAGGACAGGAAGGCCTGGAGGAATGTTGTCCATGGGGTCGCAATGGGTCGGACACGACTTCGCGACTAACAAGAACAACAAAGCTCCATCATTACGTGGTAGAGCATATACTTTAAATGCAGAGGTTCTCACGTTCAGTTCCTGAACCTCAGAGGCCCTGGACTTCTGCTGTCACCTTAGAAGAGGAACCAACCAACTGATTCAGTGGATAGGAAAATCCTATGAGCCTGGAAGGCTCACTCAACCTGTAAAGCCATGTCTCATCTGCAGAGACAGAAGTCATTATCTTCCAGATAAGAAGTCTAAAGAAGTTTCACAGGAAAGAAGATGGTTCCCAGCCAGTTTACCAATGACCCTGAAAAATGAATGACACTTCCTGGGTTGCTTTTGCCAATATTTTGCTTGGCTTTGCCCTTCCGTATTGCAGCCAGGATTCTACTTAGCTCCTGCTTCTGTTGTTGTCACTTGCCACATAGGATTCCAGTGCCTGGCATTAGATCACTTAATTTTTTGACCATGGATTAGTTTTCCCCCAGTCTAGGATTCTGAGGTCTGGCTAAAATGATTTTGTTTTGATTACTTACTTTGAATTCCTGCCTTTCATATGTGTTAGTTAGATGATGCTTCAAAGAGTGTGGAATTAAGCTGTGTGAAATGAAGTTATTGACATAAGTTATCTGAATTGCCAGCACAATGATGTTTCAATTATAGGGCAGGTATTTTTTTCTTACCATCCTAGAAATCCATAGGAGGTTGACCTTTCTGTGAATCAGGTGATCTTGCTTTTGAGTCAAGTTTCAGCTCTCACCATGAAATCTTTTCTGTGGCTGACTGAAAAATAACCAGCACACCGCTCTCTGATCAAGCAGGCCTTTTCAGGATTTGGGACAGCTTTCTTAAACAAGAAGCAACCCTCCAACCAGAGAGCCTGCTCCACTTTAATGGCTCACAAATGCTTTTAGGGGTGCAATTCTCTATGGCTCTCTATAGATTCAGAAATACATTTTGAATACAATTTTACCTGTTCCATAGAATTTTCCCACTCACTTTTCTGTTGTAGAAAAAGAAAAACTTGTTGTCGGGGAAGCTGCAATTTTGGGAGAACAGTTTGCAGTGAAATATAATGAGGATTGGCTGATCCCAGGAAGCAGGACTGATTCTGAATGGGTATGACATCACCAAGGAACTCAGCTAACTCCAAGGGAAAGTTCTGAACTGGAAACAAAACACTGGAGAAAATGACAGAAGACATAATGTTATGGTTTGGGGTTCTTCCTGAAGCTGCTTTTTGAGAAAATCCTATGTCCAATAAACTAAAAATAGTTTAGCATAGCTTTTGTTAATGTACCATAAAACGTTTTTAAAGGTATAGGTAGCCTTATGTTTTAGGTCTGCCTAGTATTTTAAAAATCACCTATGTTGGCTAACTAATAATGAGTAAATAGAAAGGAAACTAGTTGTAAATTATTTTGAATTCCATTAAGAAACAGTTTATACTGTAGCACAAGAACTGCAAACAGTGCACATTTCTTATTACAGGCCATAAAAACATGCAGTTATTTGATGCTTGCATGTCCATAGAAAAATATGATGTGTTCAGACCCACACCGACACATACACAGACACTATTTATTGTGATTCAGAATTAGAATTTACTTGCTTTATTTTTAAGAAAACATATTATTTGTGGTACAATATAAGATTTCACCAATATTAAATACCCTTCCTCTATGGACACATATTTATTTGACTTTTGCTCAGACATGGACACATATTCACTGAAGCAAAATATACTATGGCCATGACATATGAGATAAAAGTCTTTCATTTCCAACTACGAAAATCAGGTATGCACAAACTTTTTTGCTCCAAGATCCACATAGAATGATGGGAGCTACATACATGTACACAAGTTCACACTCACATAACTGACACGCAGGACTAATGGGCACGTCACTCACATACCATCCACGCTCAGTGCAACATCAACACATCTTGGTCTTGCAGCAACAGCATCTATCTCAGGTCACATCATCAAAGTGTTGGAAGTTCCCACCCAAGGTACCCAAAATGGTCTTTCATCACCCAAAGGGGGAAATATTCTAGCAATGGCCTACCATACCAGCATCATTCCAAACACATTTACAGATCATCTTAGGAAGCTGGTGGATATATGCAATCATTGTTCCTGAGAAAGTCCAGAGACACTCCAGACAAAGCTTATACGGCAGGAACCATAGAGCCTGTACCTAGAACCTGTTTCCCATTCCTCCCCTTTTTGGCAGCCACAAGACAAAGTTTAAAGCATGAATCATTTGCTGACTATAAGATGTGGCTAACCTACTTCTTTCCAAAACTGTTGTCAGTGACTAGAAATAAATGATGGGAAAGGTGAGTCTTCTTGGAGAAAGTAAGAATATGTGAATGAAAGAGATTGCTTTTTCATCTCATCAAAGTCAGTATTTCACTACAGAGCAGCTCCATAATTTTCCATTGACATTGCTAATGCAAAAAGTGGTTGCAACGGAAGTATGATACGTTATGGCATAATCTTACAAATGTTCCCTTCCATCAAAGCACAGTGAGATCAGTTTAATTAACAGTGGCCTTCACCTTTTTTCTTTTTATGCTTAAGTATTTGCTGTGCCTGTATATCATCTTTACATTGTAAAGGAAGAATATACAAGCTTCAACAGGAAAGGCAAACAGTAGTGGAGAAAGAATTCTGATTAATGGAAGATAAGAGACTGGAAGAAATAAATACAGGAAAAGTCAAAGGAAGCCAGAAAAAAAAATGAGAGCATTAGAAAAGAACAAATCCCTGGTTTGTGGGGTAGATGGTAGATAATTTCCCTAATAGTTACTGTAAAAACTGAAATTTTTACAGTTTTTAATTTAGTTTTTCAATGCAAATCAAATAATAGTTGTGTCTTTATGGTGTGGGGGGAGAGGAAACAAATTTACAAAAGATTTCTAAGCATATTATTATGTCCATTCTGTGCCAGAACATAGAAATAGCTGGACCTTCCTTCTCTATAGAAGCTTGACCTTTCTGAGAGCTGTATATGAAAGGTTAGAAAGGAAGATGATGCAGACCAGCTTTTCCCAACCGGGTGCCCTCCAGATGTGCTGGACTACAAGTTGTACCACCCACAGCCGAAGTTGCAATGCTGCCTAGGAATATGAGAATTGTAGCCTGACACATTTAGACTGTACTAGGCTGGGAAAGGCTGCTTTATGACATCTTCCCTGCTAGCCTTCCATGCACTGCTTTCAGAAAGGTCACCCTTCCATAGAGAAAGGAGGGGGCAGTTATTTCTATGTTCTGGAGATATTCACCTTTGAAAATGAGAGGGCAGAGATGACCAGCCAGGGCTAAAATTCCTTTAATGTCTAAAGGGAAAGAATCCAAAATTAGCCCAAGTAACACAGAATGATAGACAATCTAACATTGTAAAGGTTACCTATTTATTGGTTAGTACTCTCTGATGTGTAAACTTCATAAAATTGAAGCTCAGAGAAAACATTGTACAGCCTTGTCTATATCTCTGGTGTCATTTGCCATTGTTGCTACAGAATTTGCTGAAATGATCATGCAAAAGACGTGGTTCCAATTCTTATTTTTGTTACTTATGTTAATGTGCACAAGACTGGATTCTAGGCAAAAAAGAGAAATAAGAAGCAATGAACTAACCATAGAAGGTCTTTGTCATAACTTTTGGGAGTTTATCCTCATGAAGGTTAGTTGTGCTGCAGAATGTTTCTTGGACATCAATCTCTGCTCCTGATTATTTATGATAATTTAATATGGTGTATTTTATTGTATTTTTAATGTGCTGTTGTGAGCCACCTGGAGAGCTTCAGCTGTTGGAAAGTATAAAAATTAAATAAATAAACAAACACCAACAAGCATGATAATACAATGTATGTGCTCCAGGATATTACTGTTACTGCACTGATGCAAGGTGCACTGGATAGCTTTTCAACAACATATGTCTGCTGGTACCCAATGTCCTTTCCAGACCCTTGTACAAGTATGTGCACCTTGAAATGATACACACCGTACAAAGAACCTTTGAACTTTGTCTGTAGCATATCTTAGCAGAAACAATCCAATGAAACACATATCAAAAATATCTACAAAACATGGGAATTTTATGGACATACATTAATCAAAAGTATACACAGTTATTATTCATGGGAATTAGTTGTTGACAAAAGGTGTTCTATGAATTCTAGAATGGATTGAATCAGTTCACATATTAGAAGCAAAACTAGAAATATGAAATGAATGAGACAAAAGGCAACATTAATAACATAGAGATGGAGAGATAAACATCCAGGAATAAAATTGCAAGAGGAAGGAGAGGGAAATAGTTTGCAGGGCTTGTATTTAACAGTGGACAGGGCACTAAGCCTATTCCTGTAACAAAAGGAGGCCAGAACGCTCATTACCTACATTCAGCACAACACACCCAACCTTGAGTTCCTGCACACCACTCCTTCCTGTTTCCTTTCATCAATCTTCCTTGGGAACCATTTTTTTGCATTATCAAATCACCACAGAGGCTCATAAATAAGAGGGCTCACACAGGGGGAAAAAAGGAGTGGGATGGGAAGCTCTGGACACAAGCCTTGGCTTTGGATACCATCAGCTGCAGTATCCTGCTGGATCAACTTGAGGCTGACCAATGGAATCACTGGCTTGCAGAGCTTCCAACCTTACCTGCAGGGTCAACTTGAGACAGTGACATTGAATAACATTTCCTCAGTCCCTTGGCAGTTGAACTTCTGCAAGTTACCACTGCAGGGTACCACTTTGTCCCCACTGTTGTTCAACATCTGTATGAAGCCACTGGAAGTGGTTATTAGGGGATTTGGAGCCAAGGGTCACCCTGTGGCATCAAAATCCGGTGAGACCATGAAAGTCCTGGATCAGTGTGTGGAATCAGTCATGGGCTTGATGATAGCCAATAAACTGAATTTGAATCTTGGTAGTACAGAGGGCCTTGTGGACAGATAGATGAGGGTAAGGGTGCGTCCCCTACTGAAAGGTCAGGTTTGTAGGCTCAGGGTTCTGCTGCATCCATCACTTTTGCTAGAGGCCCAAGTCACCTCAGTGGCTCAGAGTTCCTTTTACCACCCTTGACTGGTATGCAGGCTAGAGCCTGGATAGGAATAAACTGGCCGCAGGGGTACAGGTGCTAGTAAAATTTAACACTGGATTATTGCAATGCATTCTGTGTGGACCTGCCCTGTAGGCTGGTTCAGAAGCTGGAACTCATGTGGAATGCAGCTGCCAGGCTTTTGTCAGGAGTTGCCCTTTTTCAGCATGCAGCGCTCCTGCTGAGGGAATTGCACTGGCTGCCCATTTGCTAACAACATCTTTATTTCAACAGTAGAAAAGCAGAGAGAGGATGGTAGTTATACTTTCTAGATAAAGGACCTCAGAAGGATAGAATGGGGCTGAAATTTTTCTTCTTATCTCAGCAGAACATAACTTCATTTACTAACGCAAAAAGGGCCAGGGAAGGGTGGTGAAAATGACGACGGGGCTTAGGAAAAACAACAAGTAAGAGGGGCATGATAGAGTATATATTAAATAGTACGGAGAAAGTTGACAGGGAGATGTTTCTTTTTCTCATGTAACACTAGAACTCATTATCATCCAGTGAATCACATAGCTAAACTATGGAATTCACTACTGCAAGGTGTAAGGATAGTCACCACCTTAGGCAGTTTTAAAGGGGATTAGACAAATTCATGGGGATGATGCTGTTAGTGGCTACTACTCCTAATGCCTATATGCAAAGTCCAGAGGCACTGTACTTCAGAATACCAGTAACTGGAGACTATGAGTGCGAGAGTACTATTGCAATTATGTCCGGACAGTGCCCTACTGCTTCCTACAGGCGTCTGGCTGAGTTTAGTGGGAACAGAATGCTGGACTTTGGTCTTTGTCCTGATCCTAAACAACTCTCCTTACATTCTTTACCACTGGCTTGGCTGAGCATATTTAAAATAAGGTTTCCCTGAAGCCAGTCCCTGCAGGCAGCATTCTGGATTCTAGGCATTCGCTTTCCAGTTTGGTTTACAGTCTCAGGCTGTAAGAAGTGATAGGTTTGGATACATAAGTCAGAAAATGCCTTTAGTGGGGGATTCTGAAGTTTCATACACTGACCTTGACAACTGCAAGATTAGTTCTACTTGTCCAGTTATCTTAACACTGGGCAATATTAGTTATGTTTTTTCCTTATATGGAACAACATTTCCTTATATTTCCAACATTTATGGAGGAGAAAAAACTTTCCATGGTGCTTTTTAATGTTAGGTGTTTCTGTTTTGATTTTTTACTCGGGGAGATTATAGTGTGGGAACATATTAGTAAGGCTTCATATTGATATATCAAAGTAACCAATATCCTTTAGTTCAGAGACAAATTCATAGATAAACACGAGGGACAAAGAAAAGGTCACAATTTTTCCCCAAGTGGAAGAGTTTTCTGTGTATTTCAGTTATGGAATGCCATGTTCCTGTTCTGCTGGACGCTTTTTGTAGTACTTGGTTTTCAAAAATCACATGGGTGCCTTGCCTGTGTTCAAAAATTACCTACCTTAATGAGCTTAATGCATAACAAAATGTTAATGTCATAAACTGGTTGAATAGTGATTTTGTATTACACTGAATCCCCAATACGATATTAAATATGTAGTTTCTTATAAATAATGAACCAAACCCTCTGGAACTTCTACGTCAAGAAAAATTTTGCTTTAGAATATCAATCATTTTAATGATGAAACTTGTTAATGATGAACCTACTAATGTGAAAGTGATTCTAAGTGCTCTGGACTCTTTTTTTCTAATGATAAATTAATCTTTGAAGTTGAAATGGACATGTTACACCTAGCAACTGTTCAGCAGCAAGTTAAGGCCTTTTTCCCCACTATATACTGTGGTTTTGGGGGAAGGTCACACCTTCAGGTCTCTCAGGCCATTGAAGCTGAGAAATTACATCCAAGAGAATATAGTCAGAGTGGATGCCCCATCAGCTTTAAATTTAGCAGATCATGATAATCTCTTGAGGACCTGAGCAGATCAAAAAATCAATGGTCTAAATCAAGAGAACTGCAAGCCAGTGCTGCCCTACTGTCTTTATGGTTTCAAAGATTAATCATAGTCACAGAGCACAAGGTTCTCACTGCTAAGGGATTTCAGGTGCAGCAGGAACTGGGAGAACAGGATGCTTGGATATAATTCAAGTTCTTCCTCTTCCCCTGCTTTCAGTCCCTCCTTTATTGGATCCAGATTGTGCAGAAGCATGGGCAAAAATGTCACTTCAAAAAGTATGCTGAGAGAGCTTAGAAGGAAGAACTAAGCACTGTAGCACTAGGGCTGGCCCAAGAGATGTTGCTGCCTGAGGGAAAGTAGCAAATGCCACCCCTCAGCCACCCATGTGACAGTGCATAGTACCCAAAGTCAGGCAAGGTCTTTTGGCAAATGAGGCAGAAGATTCTCCAAGCACCTCTCTATTGGTGCCTGAAGTGGCTGCCTCACCCTGCCTAATGGGAGGGCTTGCCCTCTATAATACATGCCACCACAACCACCGCAATGTATAGGAAGACAAAACAGCTTCTCCAGCCCAAACTCCAGTAATTTATAATTACTGAATTATAAACGGTGCCCAGAGAGTTCCACCCATTCCTTCTGTGGAGACACTGCATTATGAGGCAGATGAACTTTTAGTCTAGAAGAGCAAGGTACTCTAAAGCAAGCTTCCTAGAACACCAGGGACATTCTTAGGAATAAGCTGACCTAGCCTAGAGTTGGATATTGCTTGCTTTAGAACTGTCTATATTTAGCTATCAAAGGTGCTGCATGCAGGAATTTTCCATGCATGAATCACATACATGTATCAGGGTATTTAATCCCATTACTGAAAATCTGGAAACTTGAACAGTTTTTGATATTACATAATGCTGAAGTAAAGTGATGCACACTGGAGCAAAAAAAATCTCAACCTGGCTTAAAAGCTGATGGAATCTAAGCTGCTGGTGACTGAGCAATAAAGACCTCTTGGGGTTTTTGTGGACAGCTTGATGAAAACATTGGACCACGTGCAACAGCTGCGAAAAGGGCAAATTTCATGTTAGTCATAATTAGAAAAGGAACAGAAAACAAAACCAACAATATCAGAAAAATCAAAACTGCCTTATACAAAACACTGATGTGCCCACATGTGGAATACTGGATACAGTTCTGGTCACTGCACCTCAAAAGGGATTATGGAAAGCCAGAAAGGTGCTGAAAAGGGCAGCCAAAAGGATCAAGCGGTTGGAACAAGTCCTTATGAGGAAAAGTTACAATTGTGGAAGTTTTGTTGTTCTTACATGCTGTCAAGTCATCTCTGACTTATGGTGGGCCTATGAATGAATGCCCTCCAAAATGTACTGCCCTTGAAAGTCCTGCTCGGCTATTACAAACTCAGAGCTGAGGCTTCCTTTATGGAACTGATCCACCTCATATCTGGTCTCCCTTCTTTTTCTGATTTCAACTTTCCCTAGCAATATTATATTCTCCAGTGTCGCTTTCCTTCTTATGCCTGAAGTATGATAGCCTCAGTTTTGTCACTTTTGCTTCTAGGGCAAGTTATTACTTGTCATTATTGCCATTACATTGCATTTATATCCTGGCTTTCTTCCTCTAGCAAGTAAGCCAAGGTGGATTACAAGATTCTCTTCCTTTCCATTCTGTCCTCACAACAGCAAGCCTGTGAGGTAGGATGGGCTGAAGGGCAGTGACAGGCCCAGTGGGCTCTATGGCTGAGTAGGAACTAGAACCCCA